ACTCTGTCACCCAGGCTGGAATGCAGTAGTGTGATCTCAGCTCACTGCAACCTCTGCCTCCCGGGTTCAAGTGATTCTCCTGCCTCAGACTACCAATGAGCTGGGATTACAGGCGCCAGCCACCACGCCCAGCTAATTTTTGTATTTTTAGTGGAGACAGGGTTTTGCCATGTTGTCCAGGCTGGTCTCAAACTCCTGACCTCAGGTGATCTGCCCACTTCGGTCTCCCAAAGTGCTGTGAGCCACTGCGCCCGGCCCAGACACAAATATTTTAAATGTCCACAGGAGATGGAGGCATGGGGGCCTTCCAGGCCCACTAGGTCAGCAGGAGCTCAGGAAGCTCTGACCCAGCCTCTGTGCTATGGCTGGCAGCTGGCAGCCTGGCCCTCAGGGGACACAAGGGCTGCGAAACAGCCTCCTCCCATCCCTCACCGAGAGCTGCATGACAGTCCCCCAGTCTGCCTCTTTTGGCACAAAATCCATAAATGCCACGAACACCCTAGTTCTGCAGGTGAGGAAGCTAAGGAAGTCAGGTTCCAGCAGCCCAGGTGCAGGGCTCTGATGCAGGGTCAGGACAGGGACAAAGGAAAAGTCAGCCACAGGGCCAGGGACCCCACAGACACGAGGTCCCCACGGTGTGGGGGAGGCATGAGACAGAGGGTCAGGCCACAACCCCACACAGGCATACTCGGAGGTCAGCACCTGGCCGCCTGCCTGCACACACTCCCCGCCGAGGGCCCAGTGCCCCAGTGGTGGGTGGAGTCTGCAGTGAGCAGTGACCATAACCTTCGGAGAATTTCCAGAACCCAGAAAAGAGGGGCCACTGCCCAGTTCCCTTGTGAGCCAGGTGAAATCTGATTCCCAAACTGGATGAAGACAGAGCAAGGAAAAAAGTCTGTCTCATTTACTAACACACAGGCACAAGCCAATAAAATAAAGCACACGGTCATCTCCATCGATGCTGAAAACACTGGAACGGTTCAACACCCACTTAAGATTGTTTTAAATGTCAGAAAGTTAGGAATAGTGACTTTCTCAGCTTGATAAAGACTTTTTATAGCACACATCATCCTTGGCAGAGAAACTACTAGTAATTCCTGTTACAATCAAGACAAAGAAGGATGTCCACTAAGATCGCCACTATCCAAAAGCACCAGAGGCCCAGTCGCTGCAACAAAGGAAGAAAAACGATGAGAGGACAAAGGGAAAGAGGTCTGCAGAGACCCCAACAGAAACCAACACACCACTAGAACTAACAAGGAGTCAGTCAGTCAAAAATGTAACAGGAAGCATGATACTAACCATAATATTATAAAAAGTAACTTTCAGGCCGGTGAGGTGGCTCACAATTGTAATCCCAGAATTTTGGGTGGCTGAGATAAGAGGATTGCTTGAGCCCAGGAATTTGAGACCAGCCTGGGCAACAGAGGGAGACCTTGTCTTTATGAAAAATAAAAATAAATTAGGCTGAGCACGATGGCTCATGCCCATAATCCCAGCGCTCTGGGAGGCCGAGGCGGGTGGATCACCTGAGGCCAGGAGTTTGAGACTAGCCCGGCCAACATGGTGAAACCCCATCTCTTTTAAAAATACAAAAATTAGCCGGCATGATGGTGAGTGCCTGTAATCCCAGCTACCTGGGAGGCTGAGGCAGGAGAATCACTGGAACCCACGAGGCGGAGATTGCAGTGAGCTGAGATCTCACCACTGCACTGCAGCCTCGGGAACAGAGCAAGACTCCTCATCCCATAAATAAATATATATACATATTAGCCAGGTGTGGTGGCTCACACCTGTGGTCCCAGCTGCTTGGGAGGCTGAGGTGGGGGGATCACTTGAACCCAGGAGGCGGAGGTTGCAGTGAACTGAGATCCCACCCACTCCAGCCTGGGTGACAGAGCGAGATTCTGTCTCAAAAAAAAATAAATAAATAAATAAATAAATAAATTAGCCCGGCATGGTGGTGTACAGCTGTGGTCCCAGCTACTTGGGAGGCTGAGGGGAGAGGATGGCTTGAGACCAGGAGGTCAAGGCTACAATGAACCAAGATCACACCACTGTACTCCAGCCTGGGCCACAGAGCAAGACCCCCGTCTCAAAAAATTTAAAAAAAATTTGTGCCACTGAATGGCACCCTCTTGAACCAGCCCCCTTGTAGGCGTTTTGGAAAAAGAACACCCACGTGTGTGGCCGTGTCTGTCACTGGTGGCTCCTCCTCCCTCCGGTTCCAGCACTCCCACGTCTGTCCTCCCGCAAACTGTTCTCGGACCTCGCATCCAGCTCTGTAAGTGCGGGGCGGCCACTCTCCCAGCCTGCGTGGGGCCTCGAGGGCATCAGGGTTGGCTCTGGGCCCTTCTCAGGACACTCTGAGGTTTGGGGATCACCTGGTGGCTTTGTGGACGTGTGGGGGGAGCGCAGGTGGGGTCCCTAACCTTCCCCACACACCAAGGGAGCAGAAGACAAGCTTAGCATCCATGCTGCCAGCCTGAGTGCTAACCAGCAGCAGTGCATGGCCACAGGGACAGGCCTACCCTGTCCTGAGCAGCAGCAGGCAATCAGGGACTGGGCTTTGGGAGGAAGACCCAGCACCTCCGGGAACAAGCCCAAGGAGGAGAGGAGCCTGGGATGTTCCAAGAGCCCAAGGGACTTCCTGGGGAATCCGCAGTGATGCCTTCACTCCCACGGGGTGGACGGGTTTCGCGGTATTTCTGAAGGCGCCATCGCCCAGTGGAGTCCCAGGAAGGCGGAACCCACACGAGTCTCCCGGCGAGGACGCCCACCAAGCCGCACCTCCAAGGAAGCCCACGGGGACACTGGGAAGGCAACCGGACGGCTCGGGGCTCCAGAGGGAAAATTCCACATCAGCTTCCAGGCAGGAGTTGATGGATGGGTGACCCATGCCACGTGCTCCCCCTCTGAGCTCTGACGTGGCTGCAGTGGGCCAGGGAGGGGCCCTGCAAGCCCAGCTTGACCCAAAACACCAGAGACAGCCCTGGAGGCTGACAGCCAGTGGGCAGCACAGGGAAGGAGGAGGCGGACACTGGTGACGGGCAGAACCCCCAGGCACACAAGGCTCCGCACGATCAGCGTGATCCAAACGTGGGGCCAGCCGGGCGCGGTGGCTCACGCCTGCGATCACAGCACTGTGGGGGGCCGAGGCGGGCAGATCACCTGAGGTCAGGAGTTCGAGACCAGACTGGCCGACATGGTGAAACCCCATCACTACTAAAAATACAAAAATTAGCCATGCATGGTGACAGGTGCCTGTAATCCCAGCTACTCGGGAGGCTGAGGCAAGAGAATCGCTTGAACCCAGGAGGTGGAGGTTGCAGTGAGCCGAGATCGCACTACTGCACTCCAGCCTGGGTGACAAAGCGAGACTGTTTCGAAAAAACGAAAAAAAGGCAAGGCGTGGTGACTCATACCTGTAATCCCAACACTTTGGGAGGCTGAGGTGGGTGGATCACCTAAGGTCAGGAGTTTGAGACCAGCCTGGTCAACATGGTGAAACCATGTCTCTAGTAAAAATACAAAAATTAGCTGAGCATAGTGGCACACGCCTGTAGTCCCAGCTACTCGGGAGGCTGAGGAAGGAGAATCGCTTGGACCCGGGAGGTGGAGGTTGCAGTGAGCTGAAAGTACGCCACTACACTCCAGCCTGGGCGACAAGAGCGAAACTCCATCTCAAAAAAAAAAAAAAGTGGGCCGGGCGCGGTGGCTCAAGCCTGTAATCCCAGCACTTTGGGAGGCCGAGGCGGGCGGATCACGAGGTCAGGAGATCGAGACCATCCTGGCTGACACGGTGAAACCCCGTCTCTACTAAAAATACAAAAAACTAGCCGGGCGAGGTGGCGGGCGCCTGTAGTCCCAGCTACTTGGGAGGCTGAGGCAGGAGAATGGCATGAACCTGGGAGGCGGAGCTTGCAGTGAGCTGAGATCCGGCCACTGCACTCCAGCCTGGGCGGCAGAGCGAGACTCCGTCTCAAAAAAAAAAAAAAAAAGGGGGTGCCTCAGTAATGGGGGTTTAAAACCAGAAAAAAGGGCTGGAGGCGGTGGCTCACGCCTGTAATCTCAGCAGTTTGGGAGGCCAAGGTGGGCGGATCGTGAGGTCAAGAGATTGAGACCATCCTGGCCAACATGGTGAAACCCTGTCTGTACTAAAAACACAAAAAAATTAGCTGGGCATGGTGGTGCGCACCTGTAGTCCCAGCTACTCAGGAGGCTGAGGTAGGAGAATCACTTGAACCTGGGAGGTGGAAGTTGGGTTGCTGTGAGCCGAGATCGTGCCACTGCACTCCAGCCTGGGCATAGAGTTAGACTCCGTCTCAAAAAAAAAAAAAAAAAAAAATCACCTCCCTGAGAGCTAAGAACAAGCCCAGACCCTGCTCAGGTCGGAGGATTCCAAGCCAGGCTGAAGACTGGCTGATGCGTCCACCAACGGCCCCACAACTCACCCTTTCCCCGGCCATGACCCGGAGGTTACCGCCCCTTTTCTGGAGATTTCTGAATACCCCACCCCTGAACGTGTACGTAGTTAAGAGTGGATGTAAATGTGACCGCGGCCATGCCCTGAGCTGCTGCCCTCCACGCACCACCCCAGGGCAGCCCACTCTGTGCCCTGTCACGGAGCCAACACGGAGCTGACATGGTTCCCGCCTCGTCATGGAGCCAACACGGCCTCATCCCGGAGCGGACACGGCCTCATCCCGGAGCGGACACGGCCTCATCCCGGAGCGGACACAGCCTCGTCCTGGAGCAGACACGGCCTCATGCGGGACCAGACACAGCCACCGTCTCAGTAAAGCTACTTTCTCTACCACCTGCCTACCCCTGAATCCCTTCCTGGGCAAAGCCAGAGCCCTCCTGGCCGGAGCCCCACTTTCGGGTTCCTCTGCCCTGCATCACTGCCATGCCACCAGACTGACCAGCTAAAGCCACGCAGGGCTACCATGTCAGGAGAAAGGACACCCCCAAGTCCCAAGGTCCAGGGCCCCTTTTACCAGCTCCGGCTCCTGCTCCTGCTCCTGCTGGGGATCCTGGCCCGACTTGGACTTCTTTGGCTTGGAAGGGCCTCCGGGGCTGGAGAGGGACTTCGGCAACGTGACTGAAGATGATGTCAGAGGCCTCGTGGGCCCAGGAGGGCCCCCCAGTCTCTGTCCCCCGCCTGAGAAAGGAACAAAGGGGGCAGGTGCGGGCGCCCTCATGCTCTGCTTCTCCTGAGTGTCCTCGCAGCAGGGCCCTGAGGTGTCCACGTCCTCCCAACGGCTCAGGTCGCCGCGGCTGAGCTCCCCAGATTCCAAGGGAAGTGAAGTGCTGGCGGCCGCCTGGCCAGCCGACACCGACGACACCGACGAGCCCAGGCTTCCTGGGGTCTTGTCCACAGGGTCGCAGCACTTCATGACAAACCTGAGTGGGGCCAGAGGACAAGGGAAGCACCTTGTGGTGGCCCTGCCTGCCGCCTGCCCCGGCTCACCCCCTCCCACCCCCCGCCCCCCCCCTCCCGCCCCCGCCTCACCCGCTCCCGCCCCCAGCTCACCCTCTCCCGCCCCCTCCCACCCCATGCACCCTCCCAAGATCCACCTCCCCTCTGGGGGACACAGAGATGAGGCCAGCGCAGCCCGGCCCCCACGCCCACAGGCAGGCAGAGGCCACCAGGCACCCTCCATGACCAGGGCCTGGGTACACCTTCTCCCCACTTGCCACGTGTCCTTTCTCCTTTCCTTTGAGACCACTTTTTTTTTTTTTTTTTTGAGACGGAGTCTCGCTCTGTCGCCCAGGCTGGAGTGCAGTGGCCGGATCTTGGCTCACTGCAAGCTCCGCCTCCCGGGTTCACGCCATTCTCCTGCCTCAGCCTCCCGAGTAGCCGGGACTACAGGCGCCACCACCTCGCCCGGCTAGTTTTTTGTATTTTTTTAGTAGAGACGGGATTTCACCGTGTTAGCCAGGATGGTCTCGAACTGCTGACCTCGTGATCCGCCCGTCTCGGCCTCCCAAAGCGCTGGGATTATAGGCGTGAGCCACCGCGCCCGGCCGAGACCACTTTTTGTAGCTAAATAGACCCCTCGGCCCCAGCGGCACCGCCCTTACCTGATAGTGGCGCTGCCCCCGGTCAGGCCCAGCGACTGCAGCGTCGTGCCCCGTAGGGCGGCTTCACCCATCACCTGTGGGAGAAGCAGCCAGGACAGGTGGGCCTCGCACTGGGACCCCAGAGCCCAGGGAAACCCTCCGGGCTCTGGCTCCAGGCACCACATCACCTCTGGGCACTGGCATCACCAGGACCACAGGCCACATGCCCTCTCCGGCCTCCGTTCTACCCACTCCCACATCTGGCCCCTGCTGGTCCACACCCTCCGCAACGCCCAGCTTCAGTCTGGTCTGCAGCCGGGGCAGGACCTGCTGCCCATGCCTGAGCGAGTCTCCCCCAGCCTGGTCTCCGCAGCTGGGACCCAAGCTCACTGAGGCCTGGACTGGCAGAGCTGGGCTGCAAGGAGGAGGCCCTGGAACCAGGACCCCCTGCCCGGAGCGGGAGAGGCAGGAACGTGCTGTCACCCACGGGGGCAGGGAGGAGGCCTGGGCAAGACATGCACATCTGTGACTGAGCCGGCCGGGCCAGGGTCACCCCGGCTCCATGATGCTTGCCAGCCCTCCCTAGGCCCAGTCCCTGCCGGGAGCCCTCCCCCATCTGGTGGGTGGAGGTCAGGCCAGCAGCATCCACTCTTCAAAAGCCTCTGAGTGGGCCCCAAAATCACAACACACAGCTTCACAGGCTCTGGTGTCTGGCCAGGGCGAGACCCACCCCACGGCCGCCTCCCCCATAGGTCACAGCGGCCCGGCTGCCTCGGGACACTGCCCCACCCTCCTCCGACTCTCCTGCTCTCAGGGCATTCCTGGGGCTCGGCTTGGGGTGGGCAGGGCTTGGGCCTGGCTGGCCACGTCCCACATGCTAGCTCTGACCTGTGAGGAAGGGGTGGAGAAGCTGCCTCCAGCAAGGGCAGAGTCAAGGGCCCAGCACAAAAGCCAAAGGGTGTAAGGGTCCCCGGGGACCCCAGCCTCAGGCCAGTGCTGGGCCTGGGTCCTGAGCCCCGTGGCTGTCCCCTCGAGGGAGGACATAGACCTGATCCCCCCTCACAGCCCTGGCCGGGGAGCTTCCAACTAGGGATAAATGGGGGGAGTGTCCCGTCCACACCAGGGCCCCCCAGGGCTCCCCCGGGACAGTGCCCCCCACCGCAGCAAAGGGCACTCAGCCAGGGTGGAAACAAAAGGCCCCTGTGAGGCCAGGGACGAGCGCTAGGAGGGTCCCGCCACGGCGGGCTTTGCTTGCGCCACGCCACACTCGGTTTTGAAAATGATCAAAACACCGAGCTAAGCAAATATTTATTAAATGAAACCACTTTTGTAACTCTTGGGCTTTGAGAGAAGCTGAAAAAACAAACAGGGCGCCGAGGGAGGTTTCGGGGCAGCCCGGGCTCCGAGGGCCGGCCACTCCCTCTTTTTCCATGAAACACGTCGTGCTTTCAAGAGCCCGAGTCTCTCGCCACTGCCCCGAGACGGCTGCGGGAGAGCGGATTTTCCAGCTGGGAAGTGGGCTGAGAGTGAGTGAGGACTGGGTGGGCAAGAGTGGGCCGCCTACCTCGTCCCTCGTGTACACGCAGACTGGGGTGGCCCCGCTGGGGTGCTGCAGGCACTCCCTGGGAGGAGAGGAAAGAAACCGTCAGGTACCGCAGGGCACCTCAGCCAGTGCCACGGAGGCCCGGGGCAGGAGACTCAGAAAGCAAAGGTGTGGGGCCCTCACCCACCCCCTACCCAGAACAGCGTCCCAGGCCCAGGCCACAGCCCTCAGCCCAGGCCCCCACTGTGCCCCACAAGTACCGGGAGGAGACACCTCACACCTGGAGGCACTCCCAAGGAGCACGGCCTGCGGTGCGTGGCCTGGGGGCTCCCCCCACCTCCAGTCTTGGGGCTGATGGCAGGACATGAAGCCGCCGATACGGCCCAGGGACCACACGGGAGGGACAAGCAGCGCTGGCTCCGGAATGCGGCTCATGGCCACCTTCACTCAGAAGCCTGAGCGTGAGGGTGCCAAGGTCTGGGCTTTCATCTAAAGCCGCCCACTAAGAGGAGGTGCCCCTGTCTCCACTGCCTGCCGTCCTCCCTCAGTGCCGACGCCTGATGTCACCAAAGCATGGGGGGAGGGGTGCTGCACTCCGCTCACGCCCGCTTGCCCGTGGCCGGGGAGGCCGTACTTGTAAGTCCATGTCGGACTCTGCCACCAGTGTCTTTCTGAGCCTTGCCCCCCAGGAGACACAGCTGGACCCGTGCATAAGTGGGCGTGCATATGCAGCATGCTCCCACACAGGCCTGATGTGCACAGCAGCCTGGGAGATAGGCGTATCCCGCCACGTACAGCCCCAGAGCACGTGAACTGCTGGCGGCACCTGCTGCATAACGGGGGCTCGCCTGTGTTTCCAACTCCCCACCGTGAATTCCTCCCCACTGAGAAAAACAAAAGCCTGTCTCAGGCCTTCCTTGGAGACGCCCCTGATCAGTCCCTCTCCAGGGAGGGGAATCCGAGAGGAGGGGGCAGGTGGCCAGAGCCTAGGCAAAGGGGAGGCCAGGGTTGGCCTCAGGTCAGGCAGCTGCCCTGCCGGACCCTATGGCCAGTGCGGCTTGCAGGGGCTCAGGTGGGACAGGAAGACACCTGTCTTCAGGTCAGGTGGTGACCAGAACACAGGGCATAAAGATAAGGTGAGAGCTGGGCTGGAAACTGCTTACAGCAACACCCTGGGATGGAAGGGTCAGAGGACAGGGTGTCTGCAGTGTCCAGGTCGAGACACCCATGCACGTACATGCACAGAGCGGGCTCCTGGGACAGGAGCTGTCAGCCTCCGCCTGAACCCACCTGCGTGCTTATAGGGCCGCAGGGGCCCATCGTGGGCCCACCGTGCACTCGCCATGCTCCCGACCCTGGGATCTGCTGACCTACTCGAAAGGGCAGGACTCAGCCGGGCACGGTGGCTCCCGCCTGTAATCCCAGCACTTTGCGGGGCTGAGAAGGGCGGATCACGAGGTCAGGAGATCGAGACCATCCTGGCTAACATGGTGAAACCCTGTCTCTACTAAAAATACAATTAGCCATGCGTGGTGGCGGGCACCTGTAGTCCCAGCTATTCGGGAGGCTGAGGCAGGAGAATGGTGTGAACCCAGGAGGCGGAGCTTGCAGTGAGTCGAGATGGCGCCACTGCCCTCCAGCCTGGGCCACAGAGCAAGACTCCGTCTCAAAAAAAACAAAAAGGTCAGGACTCGCCTCCGTGAAATGGGAACAGACCAAGCAGAAAAGCCAGAGGTGCCACACCCAGGACAGGCCCAGCCCCGCCACCTGGGGACTGTGTGGGTTTGACGTGTTTTCTTTTGTTTCGTGGCCTCTATTTTTCATGTCCTCACTCCTAGGGGAGGGGCATCCCTTCCCCACCCCAGCCCCAACTCTGACAGCCTGGTCCGGCTGCAGAGGCCCCGCAGGGCCGTGAACTTAGCCCCATGCTCTCCCTGGACCCACTGCCTACAATGAAGCCCCTTCCCCGATGGCCTCTGGCCTGTGGAGCGCGTGCGCACCACGCAAATGGCGGATGTCCTCTGCATGCAAGCTGGGACACGCTCGCTGAGCTCCCATCCCACAGAAAAGCCAACAAAGGGCCTCGGATTTGCCTTCCCTCCAAATGGCTGGAGACTCGGCCCAGAGGCCCCAAGACCCAGGGCTCAGGAAAACACAAGGCCCCAAAATGCACGGAGCAGAGCCTGGACAGAGGCGGAGCGAGGCCTCAAGGAAGCACAGCCCCCAGGGCCAGGAAGGGGAACGGGGAGGGCCGAGGGTCCCGGCTTCCTAGCAGGATAGGGATGGCCAGGGGCCGGAGACGGCCACGAGGCTACTTATCTATGGCTGGGAAGCACTGGACCGTGTGGTGGCCGGAGTCCCAACTCACAGTCCTTCCCCGGCACCGACCGCCAGCTTGGGGACCTCAAATCACAAACAGGGACAGAGCACAGCAGCGTGACATCAAACGCCAGCCGGGCTTTGATGTGCGGCTCCTCCAGAGGGATCAGATTCCCTCGTGCGGGATCTGAGGGAGCGGCTTGTGAACACGTTGTGTGGCGGCCAGCCGAGGGGAGGGGCGGCCGGCAATCGGTTCCAGACCTTCTGCGCCGGCCCAGCGCGCAGGACGACATGGCCCGGGGGAAATTCCAGCGCCCGAGGAGACAGAGCCCCCTGTGCCTGGCGAAGCCACCCCCGCCTGCCCCCTACGCAGACCTTTGGAAGGCCCAATGCCTGCAGGGGCAAGACCCAGGGCCTCCCGGGGACCCTAGGCCAGGCCAAGCCACCAGACACCACGCTCCGAAGCCAGAAACGCAAGACAGGGTGCTGTTGGGCGCGTCTGCGGGTGCCTGCTCGCAGCGGGGTACTGGCACACTCTCACGCACTCTGCAGCTCTGCAGCCAGCAGAGCTCCCCGCTTGGCCAGGGCCAGAAGCCAGCGGGACGGCCAGGAGGGCAGACACGCCCCTGCTGCTGGCTTCGCCGGCATATTCTTTATGCACCACAAACCCCGCCCCGGTGGGGCCCTGCTCCGGCAAGGCGCGGCTGTGTGCTGGGGACAAGGCAGTGAGTCTGGAGCCCTCCGTGTTCATGTCCTGTCTGGGTCTGACAAAGCTGGTTGCAAACACAGGTGCTGACGAGAGCCTAGGCAGCAGCACGCGCCCTGCCGGGAACAGAAGCCCGCAGAGCTGTGGCTGCAGGCCAGGAGCCACTCGGCTCGGGGAGGCCCGCAGAGGGCACCACCCACCACACGACAGCCCAGCCGAGAAGTGGGCTGGACAGAGCCTGGGAGAGCCTCAGGGGAAGGCAGCCTCCGGCCGTCCCAACCCAGCCAGGTCCGGACAGGGACGGACAAGGATGAACAGGGATGAACAGGGATGAACAGGGATGAACAGGGATGAACAGGGATGAACAGGGATGAACAGGGATGAACAGGGATGAACAGGGATGGACAGGGATGGACAGGGATGGACAGGGATGGGCCCCAGAGCTCTGAGCTGGCCTGGCAGCATGCATAGACCCACCCTGAGTGTGGCCACAGCCGGTGCTCCACCTGGCAGAGCCCTGTTCTCACCAGCAGCCCCTCCCTACAGCCCAGCACACCCAGAGGGCTGCAGAAATCGCCCGGCTTTCCTAGAGCCACAGCTTTACCCACAGGAGGAGGAACGGGCTGAGATGCGCTCAGCCAGACCCCAAGCACTGAGTCAAGGCTGGGAGCAGAGGGCTGGGCACCTGGGAAGAGATCCAGCCGGGGGCCGGGCACACTGGGGAGCCACTCCCACCTGGGGTGCCCATGCCAGCACAGCCCGGGGGCACCTCTGAGAGAGGGCAAATCCCCTCCACGGCCGAGCTCATGAATCTGACATTTACAGAAAGCCCACGCTGCTCCCTCACGGTCTCCAGATGGAAAGCGGCTCAGCTGCTGTGTGAGCTCCCTCGGCTCACCCTCGGTCACCCCCAACAGTCCCCGCTTCTCTTCCTGCTCAGCAGCTCAGCATGGTCCGTCCACACCCCTGCCTTTCACCACTGCTCCATGGCAACCAGGTCCCTACAGGACTTGGGGTTCAAGCTACGGGACTCGCTCGCCTGCCCCCGTGGACTGCCCAGACATGCCACCCCCCGAGTCGCAGTATGACCTCCCGGGGCTCGTGCCTGCTGGCTCTAAACCCATGGAGAGAAACTCCTCATAGGAAATCCTTTAGCATTAACAACCTGTACCCCAGCAAAGACTCTGGCCAGAAAGGTGCTCCCTTTCCTCTCCGGGTGCCTCCAGGAGGGCCCGTAGGCAATTCTCATGCGTCTCCTATCACGGAAGGCACACTTCCCATCATAAAGATCCCAAACTCAGACACAGGCCCACCGGGCAGGTGGAAACAGTGTCCCCCAGAACTCAGTGTGGCTATTCACACCCCTCTGCTGGGCAGAACCTTCAGATTACAGGGAAAATGGGAAAGCTTGAAGCTTGCAGCCTCCGTCTCCTGCCTCCCCGAGGCAGAGCCTGAGAGGCAGAGCGGAGGAGTGGCCAGTCCACGAGGACCCAGCCCAGACTGAGATGCTCCAAGTGCACAGTACACGCAGGTCTCAAGGACTTTGCACAACAAAAGCATGAGATGGCTTGCTTTTCTACTGACTACGTGTCCAGGAAGTCGTATTTTGGGTATACTGAGTTAATTACACATATTACTAAAGCTAATGACACCTATTTTTATTTCTTCTTTAACGCAGTAACAAGAAAAAGTGAGTCACTGGCCAGGTGCGGTGGCTCACGCCTGTAATCCCAGCACTTTGGGAGGCCGGGGTGGGGTAGATCACCTGAGGTCTGGAGTTCTAGACAAGCCTGGCCAACATGGTGAAACTCCGTCTCTAAAAAAATACAAAGACTAGCCCGGCATGATGGCGCGCACCAGTAATCCCAGCTACTCGGGTGGCTGAGGCAGGAGAATTGCTTGAACCCGGGAGGCGGAGATTGCAGTGAGCCGAGATGGCACCACTGCACTCCAGCCTGGGTGAAAGAAAAGAAAACGTGAGTCACCTCCATGGCTGACACATGTGGCTCACTGGCATCCCCAAGGCCCCTGCTGCTTGAGTCGCTGGTCAGGCCAGGGCTGCGTGCTATGGTGACACCCTTGCAGTGGAGCTGCGACCTTTCAAACATGTGGCGGTCTCCATCCAAGGAAATCACCCAGGGGTCCCCAAACACACAAAGCAGGCTCTGTCCCAGGGCAACTCCTGGGCAGGCTACAGGCCTGCAGTCCCCAGCCATGGAACTCCCCTTCCAAGCACAGCGCTTACACTGTCCCTGAACTCAGACCTCTTCCGAAACACATGAAGGGAGAAACAACAGCTTCCCACCTGTCCCACTCTGCGAACACCTGGAGTTCCCAAGGCCTCCCCAAGCCTCCTGGGCCAGTGCAGGAACACTAGGCATGAGAGAGCCTTCCTCCCTCATGCAGACCTGCTGGGGACCAGCTTCCAGCACAGAGCCCACGAGGCACTCCACCCTCACCGTGGGGCTGGCAACGCCAACGCCACCCACCACGAAACCTCGTCCACATCCTGCTCCATGGTTAGCAAACTCCAGCTTCTGGGACGAAGCTTGGGTCTGAGCTTTTAGAAATGTATTTATTTATTATTTATTTATTTTTGAGACGGAGTCTCAGTCTGTCACCCAGGCTGGAATGCAGTGGTGTGATTTCGGCTCACTGCAACCTCCACCTCCTGGGTTCAAGTGATTCTCCTGCCTTAACTTCCCGAGTAGCTGGGACTACAGGCGCCCACCACCACGCCCGGCTAATTTTTGTATTTTTAGTAGAGACGGGGTTTCACCATATTGGCCAGGCTGGTCTCGAACTCCTGACCTCATGATCCGCCCACCTCAGCCTCCCAAAGTGCTGGGATTACAGGGGTGAGCCACCGCACCCGGACCTGTTGTTTCTTTTTACTGTTTTGTTTTTTTTTTTTGAGACGGAGTTTTGCTCTTATTGCCCAGGGTGGAGTGCAGTGGTGCGATCTCAGCTCACTGCAACCTCCTCCAAAGCGCCCAAACCCACCCCCATAGCCACCACCAAAGCCACCTCCAGAACCACCACGCCCGGCCACACCTGTTGCTTCTTAAACTAAGTTTCACACAAGGTTCAGAGTCTGTGGAAGAGGCTTATGCTACCGCAATGCCCGCCCCACCTCTCCAGACACCCTCGGGCTCCTCCCCAGTGGCAGCGCCGGGCTACTCCGGGCCACTTCCTCACCTCCATCCCCATCTGAGGACTGACAGCACAGCCAGGGAGGATGGCCCTCACCAAGCAGGAAACCCTGTCTTAAATTCCACCTCTGGAATTTAGCCCACGGGAGGAGCTGGGGTGGGTGACCAGGTGCAAAGGCCTCCAGCTGCGGGCTCTGCTCCAGCCCTGCCCGGGATGCCCTGAGACACAGCCAGACACCCCGCAACACCCACATGACACCCACATGATGGAACAGCATGGCTGTGAGGAGTGACAGGTGCGGGACCCTCCAGGAAGACGTCCACAGCATATTCACCAGCAATAAGAGTCAGCCACAAATCACTCCCCAAGGTGAGTGCTGCTCGAGTCGCTGGTCAGGCCAGGGCTGCG